TGAGGGGTGCTGAGCCCCAGGGCCAGGCACCGTGCAGACCCCTCAGTCCTCTGACCCTTCCTCTTTCTCCTCCAGTTCCCCTCCTGTGGGGCCAGGGAGTTGGGCTGGGAGGGGGCAGGCGCCTCGGGTGCCCCACACGGGCTGTGCCCCTCAGCCCCACGAGGCTGCCCGTGCCCCGGCATTTCTGGGGGGGGGGGCACACCAGGGGCTGCGTTTGCCCAGTGTCCCCAGGTGCGGCAGGGCAGTGGCCGGGCTGTCCGGTGGCCGTGGGCTGTGGGACCCTCGGGCGCCATGGCTCTGGGATGCTGCGGGGACCATGGGCGACCTCCGGCCCCTGCCCGGCACCGCGGGGATGCCACCGTGCAACCCCCAGCCCTGTGCTGGCCCCTGTTCGGCATGGTTCCCACCTCCCCTCCTGTCACCTTGCAGCAGGGGGGCAGGGAGGGCCAGGGGGGTCAGAGCCCATGTGGCTGCGGGTCAGGGACACGGGTGGCCCCGCAACACCCCTCATCCTCCCCGGGCAGCCGAGGGAGGGTTGGGGCTTTGGCTGCTGCAGGGGCTCTTATCCACACCAAGCCCCCTCCTCGGTGAGCAGTTTGCCCCGTGCACGCAGGTAGCACAGCCGTGCCTGCGGGTCCCCTCGTCCTGCCACCATCCGCGGCACCGCACCCGGAGTCGGTGGTGCCCATGGTGCCGGTGATGGTGATAGCAAAAACGGTCCTGCGCGAACACCCGGATCCTGCCACGACCCCGCCACAGGCAGTGCGTTACGCCCACGTTTGCTGCTTGCCGGTGGCAAGCCTGGGGCCACGCTGGGGTTTCACAGCCCCAGGGGCCCTGGGTCGTGGAGAAGCGGCCCACTGCCCACTCCCTGCTCCTCCTCTCCTCCGTTTCCCCATAGCAGTGATGCTCTCATGGGCACGAGCATTTCCACTTGCACCCTGTCCCCTTCCTTAGCAACCCCGCTGACTCAGCCCGGGCCTTTCCCGAGATGGGGATGCGTGCCCGCTGGGTGCCAGCTCACCCCGGGGTGCCCACAGCCCCACGGCCGGTTTGGGGGTGCAGGGTTTGAGCTCGGCGTGACCAGTGCACACGCCGTGTCCCACTGCGGGACTGTCCCGGGGCCGTGGCTGGTGCTCAGGGGCCGCCCCGCTCCCCGAGGGATGGGGAGCTGCAGGCAGGGGACACCGCTCCGTCCCCGTGCCCTGGGACAGCCGCCCCTCGTACCCCACTTCTGGCTGCAGCAGCTTCCCCGCGTCCCCCGCCGGGGCCGGCTCCTGCCCATCTGTTCTGCTGCAGACATTGTCCTTGGGTTCCGGCGGCTCTTCCCACCCCTCCGGGTATTTATAGACAGTGACCGGCTCTGGCTGCATCTCCTCTGGCTGCTCTGCCGACGGGGTGTCCCCAGGACCCCAGTACTCCCTGGGGTGCCCTCGGCAGCCTCTCAGGGCAGTAAACTGCCCCCATGCCCCCCGATCTGGGGTCCAGGGCTCCTGCGGGACCCCTCTTACTCCCACCTCAGCTGGGTGACCCTTGCTGGGACCCGCTGCCCCGGCCCCAGCCCAGGGGGGATACCCCGGTGTCACACCACCAGCCAGTTGGTCCTGGCAGTGGGGGGACCCCAGCCTGGGGGACAGCAGGGACCCTCCACCGAGCCCCACCATGGGCTGCAGGATGACTGCCCGGCATGCAAATAGCTATGGGGACCTTGGGGTGCCCGTGGGCCATGGGGACAGTGGGACCCTGGGGGTGCTGGGGGCTGCATGCCTCGTTAGGGGCTCATGGGGCACCCTGAGGTGCCGCGATGCCTCGAGGTGGCTCCTGCTCTGGGATGCTGTCCCCTGCCCTCCCCATCTATCGCATCCCACGCCACCTTGCACCCCCAGCTGGGTCCCCCCCAGTGACATCCCTGCAGCAGGGACGCTGCACCCGCCCGTTGCAGCTCCCGCACCCCTGGGTTTGGGTAGTTTTAAACCCGCCGCACGCTCCCCCCACCCAGCTGAGCCCAGTGCTGCTCAGTGCACCTCCCACCCTGCCCCGTGGGGTCCATGGGGACACAGCTGCTCCCCAAGGCCCCGTGGGAGGGGACGGTTTTGCAAAGAAAACCAAAGGCTGGCATTTAGAAATAACGTTGGATTTTTTTTTTTTTTTTTCACAAAACAAAACCCAGTTTGGGTTTATTGCGGCTGGAGAGCAGCTGGCTCCAACTCCTGGAAACCCAGCGCCTGCTGGCCTTCAGCTTGAGAAGAGAATTTAAATCTAAAATGTGAACCAGAATGGCTTTCCAGGAAAACTCTTGGTTTTGCCATCTCTTCTTCAACCCGATCTCATCAGAAAAGGAAAAAAAGTCTGCTGCAGCGCTGCCAGCTGCCCTGGAGGGGCCAAGGGGAAGCGGGATGAGCGGGGTGCCTGTGCCCCCAAGCCTGACGGACAGTGGGGGGGAAAAAGGTTGAAACCAGGTCAGATGATAGGTCCAAACTGGGTCAGGTAGGTCCCAACCAGCTCAGCCAGGTCCCTGCCACGGTGCGATGGGGGTGGCTTCATCCCACTCTGGGGGCTGCCCTGGGGTACCCCCCCCAGCGCTGGGAGCCCTGGGCAAAGAGCCAGGGTGGCTGCGGGACGGAGGGGCACGGGTGCCACGTATGTCCCGTGGCCCCACTGTGTCTGCGTGGTCCCGCCAGTCCCGCCAGTCCCTGGCAGCTGGGGGTGAGCAGGATGACCAGGGCTGGGCACTGGTGCAGGGGTGTTTTGGGCACGATGCAGCCAGGCAGGGACTGGGGTGCTGGGGGGATGGCAGGCGAGGAGCTGGCGTCAGCACCTGATGAGAAATGAGGGTGCGTTGGGCATCCCAGGCAGTTAGTGCTTGGCCTGAGCAGGGCAGCCCCCCACAGGCAAGTGGGACCCCCGGGGGTTCCCTCCCCAGCGCTGTACGGTGACAACACGGGGTAGCGCGGTGGCAGATACAGCCCCCGTGCTGGTTGCCCATCGCTGGAGATGGCCCAGTGTGGCCACGGAGGGAGCTCGGTCTCCCATCACCCTGCTCCTGCTCCTGTTGCCCTGATCCAGTTCCTTCTCCCACTGTCCTGCTCCCACCCACCCAACCCACTCCTGCTCCCCCTGATCCTGTACCCATCGCCCCGTCCCCATCACCCTGCTCCCGTCCCCACCATCACCCTGCTCCCGTCCCCACCATCACCCTGCTCCCGTCCCCATCATCACCCTGCTCCTGTCCCCATCATCACCCTGCTCCTGTCCCCATCTCCCTGCTCCTGTCCCCATCATCACCCTGCTCCTGCTCCCTCTGCTCCTGCACCCATTGCCCTGATCGTGCTCCCTCCCCTCTGCCTGCTGCTGCCTGCACCGTTGCTGAGCCCCCCCCCAGGCCCTGGGGGACCCCAGCCGGTACGGTCTGGCGTGAGAAAACCCTCCAGGCTGCATTTGCGACCAAAGCGGGGAGAAAAATCGAGGCCAAAGGGGCTGGGTATTTATTTGTGACCCGCCCGGGATCCCACGCTGCGCAAGAAGCCCCGGCGCGGCCGGCCGGCTTCCTGCTGCGGGC